CTTGTTTCTAATAGCTTCTTGTTACTACTAGTAAGGCACTTGTTACTACTAGCGTGGCACTTGTTTCTAATAGCTTCTTGTTACTACTAGTAAGGCACTTGTTACTAGTAGCGATGCACTTGTTACTAGTAGCTGGAAAAGAACAATCTCTTTTGGGTCTGTCCGAACTTACCTGTAACAGTCAGGTTTCACAAGCAAATCACGATTTTTGAACAAGGAATCTACTAACCATCATCATCCACTGTAAGTATCTTTCGTGTTCTTTTATTCCTTTATTTGTGTACCATGAGGCAGATCGCATCACCTACAACGCCTCAATCTCGGCCTGTGAAAAGTGCCTTGTCGCAATGTGTGACATGTCGACATGTGATTTAGTTCACTTGCTGCTGTTGCTCACTCCCTTGATGTCGAATCACTGGCGAGCTTTAAACCTGCCCCATCAACCACTGGAAGCTGCGTATGAAGCCGGTCTTTTTAGTCGCCTTCCGAAAGCTATTAGGTTGGAGGCCAGGGCCATTGCTATTAGGCCTATTAGGTCTGTGTTCAACAGAATGATGTAGAAAGGCGTTGTTTTCTTCTGTTCGCGTTTGCCCACTTCAACTTCAAGGTGCGGCATGTGGACCATGGCCTTGCATCTTCTCGAAGAGCGTCAAGGCTGGGTAGGTCGAGGCTGTGTTAATCTATGTTTGTCTTGCACATCAACGAGTTCTCCTGAGCCCTTTCTGGGAAACCTTTCTGGGGGTTCCCCATGGGAAGCATGGACAAAATATGGCAGTTCCTTTCTGCAGCCCTTGTGACTCTTCATCCCTTTTGGAGTCGGATATGCGGCAAGCGAGGTGATGTTGATACCGTGACCTTGAGTGCCACCATCAGTGCCTGTGAGAAAGGCTGGGTATTTGGGTGGGTCAGGGCAGTCCGGAAAAAAGGTCGAAGCTGAAGGAAATCAGCAAATTGAAACCCTCTCCAATCCAGCAAAGCCTTGCTAAAGCCTTGCTTTGAAGGCCATCAGTGGCCTTTGGCATTGGAGCTTCTACAGACACTCGACCTTGCTTCAGATACACCAATTGCTTCAATAAAGGTTGTGCGTTTTCTAGGCAAAAGCCCTCCTGGAAGCTTCCTTTGCAGTCGAAGAGAGCGATGCTCCAAGTCAGGTTTGTCTTCTTGTTTTGCGCTGAGGAAGATGGAAGAGCTGGAACTGGACATGGAAGCCATCACCTACAACGCCGTCCCACGGCGGGAAGTGCGGTGAAGCGACAGCAAGTGGCCGAAGGGGCTCGCTTGAAGCATATCCTAGGAGCCGTCGGACACTACGAACGGGGCTCCTGGCCTTACTACAAACGGAACAAGAAGCTACTAGGAACAAGTGCATCGCTTCTAGTAACAAGT